ACTGTTTTGCTTTTTAATTTTACTCATGATGGCTGCATTTGCACCCCAGCTTTCTTCCAAGAAGTTTAAGGTGGCTGTTAGGCAGTGAGACACCTGTCTGAGGCAACAGATTTGGGGTATCAGACAAGTGCAGCTGTTAGTTATCTACTTTTTTAGGACTGCATTTTTAGTGTTCGGGATGGAGAGAGATGTCTGTGAGATTTTCTGCCTCATGGACCAAAGGACTTGGTCTGCTTTGAGTACTAGGTTCCTTGACTTGGATGAGTGATGGGCACCATTTGCTGTTTTGTCTTAGGCTGAAAAAAAATCTTTCGTTGGTGCTTCCGCTGCACAGCTCCTCTCCTCCCCACTTTATCCTCACAACAACACTCCTGCAAGGCAGGCTAAGCTAAGCAAAAGTGACTGGCTCAAGGTCACTCAGGGAGCTTCACAGCTCAATGGGGATCTGAGCCCAGATCTTCCACATGAATGCTGTCAAATCACCACATTATGCCCCATTCTGATCTGCAGACCGACAGATAAAGTGCAGCCCTTCAGGGAGAGCACAGGCTAGTTCAGTGGTTCTTAACCTTGGTTACTCAGGTGTTTTTGAACGGCAACGCCCAGAAACCCCAGCCAGCACAGCTGGTGGTGAAGGCTTCTGGGAGTTGCAGTCCAAAAACACCTGAATAACCCAAGGTTAAGAACTACTGGACTAGTTGAACTCAGGAAACGCGCGCACGCGCACACACACACACACACAGAGAGAGAGAATTCTAGCATTCCAAGGCTATTCTTCAGCACAGGTTTTGGGCAAATTTCTGGCATGTCCATAGTGAAATCAAAACATGGAGCATAAAACAGGCAGGCAGAAAAAAGTGACCCAGGGTTGTAAAATCTACCATTACTTTTCTGGATTACATCATGTTGGCTGGGGGATGCTGGGAGTTGTAGTCTTAAAATAACTTTTCCAGGCTGTGATGCAGACCAATATACAGGCTTCAGATGGGGGCAGATGTGGTTAGACTACCACTTCCATCCTTCTTCACCGCTGGCTATTTTAGCTAGGGCTGACGGGAATGATAACCCAACAGCAGCTGCCCATTCACACGCTCCCCGTACTTAGCCAAAGCCCTGCCAGCCACCTCAGTATTGGCCTAAGTCAGTTCCCCTTCTCCCCACTGCCAAGGGCATGACCCTTTTACAGGTCCTGCTTAGCTTTGTACTGGGCATGCTCCCTCTGAGCCTGCTTCTCTGCTAAAATAAGCAGACAAGCAAACTAACTAAAGCCTTTCTAGAATCCCCATGCCCTGGGCTGCCTCTTCTGCCCAACACTCTTGGATATGTGGAAAGGCTGTTCTGGTTTCAATGGTAATGAGAATGCACTCTGTGTGCGCTCAATGACTTTTTTGTTTTCCTTTCCTGCTTGTGTCATTTTCCCAGGAGCCCCAATTCTCAAACTTCCCACCCAACAATGTGCAGTGTATTCATAATTCTGGTCCATGCCCCTCAAAAGTGTATGGCGGGGGGGGGCTCCCTTGCCTTATCCTCTAAATCCCACAGCAGAATCCGACCAGTAATTTTGAGCTCCCCCCCTCCAGCTGTTGCTCACCCATCTCCACCTTAGAGCAGGAAGGAACTGCAGAAAAATGTGTCTATGCAGCAGAAAAGGCTGCAGTCCCCGCTTTGTTTGCGGGGTGGGCGGGTGGGGAGGGATGTGGGTGTAGACGCGTGTGCAGGGAGAGGGGATGGATGTCAGAAAAACCTGACCCAAGTGAGGGAGATGTTTACCAGCGGCACCTTGCGACCCGCTCACCTCCTGCCCCTCCCAAGTGCCCCATTCAAACAAGGCGAGGCGGAGTCACTAACCAGCCCGGCCGCCTTTGGACCAGCTGGTGGTGGAACCGGGGCGAGATGCGGGCACCGCTAACTCCCACTCCCTTTGTCACCTCCACCCTCCGGGGGTAGCCCGGCTTCTTCCCACCCCAGCCTCCCCAGTGCCATGCCATGCCATGCAAGAGGAGAGGCTGGGGAGAAGAAAAGTGCGGTGGAAGGTTTTAAAGCCAAAAAAAAAAGAAAGAAAAAAGAAAGAAAGAAAGAAAGAAAGGAGAGAGAGAGAGAGAGAGAGAGAGAGAGAGAGACTCTCCTCACCTGAATGACAAAGCAGCAGATAGAGGAAAGCAGTCAACACCCAGTTCTGTAGCGGGCAGCTCATAATGCCTTCATAATCGGAACCAGGGCTGGCACCAGTTGGTACAGCACGCGAGCAACAAGAGAGATCGTGGCGCTGGCGGCGGCGGCGGCGGCGGCGATCCCCTTTCTCCGTTTTCTTTTGCTTTGCATTGAAAATCTGGGATTCTCTCGGATCCGGTCCTCTTTCTCCCTTCTCTCCCTTGTTTCCCTCTCGAATTGCTGCTGAGCGGCAAGAGGCGAGGGAAGACGAGGCAGCGATGCGAAGGGCGGTTTGGATCCCCAAAGCCAATCAGTTCCGCACCCGGGTAGAGCCGGGCATGGGCAGGAGGAAGAGGGAGCGGGTCATTTCTCCTCCACCCTGGTTCTGCAGTGATGGATGGGAGAGCCTGGCAGAATGCGAGCGCACGGGGGAGATGGGGCGAGTTGGGGAGGGGGGGAGGCCTAGGAGGAAGGAGGACACGTGAGCCGCCGAGAGCCCTCCCCCTGCTGCCTTTTGAGCAAGGGGGGAGCTGGCTCTCGCGTCCTCGCCATCCACCCGGCTCTTCTTCGCCCGTCCACACGCGCACGCACACACGGAGGCTTTCTGTAGCGGCAGGCGCTCGAGAGGGAAGCGAGCGAGCAGCTCTCTCTGCATGGATGCACGCCGACAGACCAGCCTCTTGGACTCCGAGCGAAGCAAGGCAGAATAAAACGTCCCTTTATAACACGGGAGAAAGATCTCATCGGTGCTCTAAGTTCACGGCTACAAGGGGAGAATTGGGCCCGATCCTGGATGTCATCCAGGCCTTGAGTTCAGGCATAGAAGATGGGAGAGAATAAGGATGCCTCTGAGGATGTAGAGAGTGCACCGCCATCATTACTGAGAAAGCTGCAACTTGTGCTTCAATCCCCCCACCCTTCGCTCAACTTTAAGGAGTCAGTCTAGTTCATTTAGACGAAATGTCATCATTATCATCGTCATCTTACAACTGCAGATCTGAAAGGGACCCTATGGATCATCAAGTCCAGCCCGTTAGTGGGGGAACTGAACTCTCAGCCTCTGGCTCTACATCCAGATGCCCAAATGACTGAACTATCCAGCAATGTTAATGTACTGGGGGCCAATCCATTAGATGTGATCTTGTGCCCATGATTTTTGTACACAGCGAAATAAGTTAGCAAGTCCAGTAACGCCTCTTTTTCTCTGACTCTGTGATCATTTATAGCAAATTGCTCTGTTCCCATACTACTGCCATCAGAATCTCGTTGCCCTGCAGGATATATTTCTGAAGGGCACCTGGTCATGATTTACCATAGTAAGGAACGTGTGTGTTGACATGTATACATTGGCAGGTAGATCACCCTGCCTGCCTTGCCACATGGAGATGGATTAAATGTTGGCAGGTAGATCACCCTGCCTTGCCACATGGAGATGGATTAAATGGAATTAGATACCTTCTGATATGGTTCCACGATTAAATCTAACCTCTACTTAAATCCTTTCAGGAAGTCTGCCCAGTGAATCAAAACATGCAAATACCACTTAAACTGATAAAAGGTAGCAAAGTAGTAGAAGTTGGAAGTAGTGAATAATTTCTAAAATGATCAGTGTCGTGGAACCAAACTTTCTTATGAAACCCGTGGTACGGTGCTACTGTTGTTAGATCATTTAAAAGCATACAATTTTCTGCAAATCTGAGATTTTTTTTTTTTAAAAAAAAGCCCAATAAAGAGGTTTTTGTTTTGCTTTATATTTTGAATATATTGAAAATTTGCACATGTGCCATTGACTGCTGTGCCTTCTGCCGAATCAGCCAAAATGGGTGCCCGTCACTAGGGACACCTGGCTAGATACCCACAGTGTTGCCACAGTGCAAGACGAGCAGGCTCTATCTGTGAGCACTCATCAGTAGAAGGAAAATATACCTTGTGGAGACCCTCACTAATTTATAACTGCAGGTTGGAATAATTTTAAGTAATTGTATTCTAGACTTGAAGGAGCTTATGTTCCTTCGTTGGTTGGGTGTTCCACCTTTGACTCCCAACCGACAGTCTCACTGGATTGTGCCAGTAGAAAACAGAGTTTCTGACTGATTGCCCAAATATCTTGGAAACTCTGGATTATTTATCTCCTAAGAAAAACAGGGATTTTATTAGCAACTACTGTACCATGTTTCTTGTGAGTGAGCTGGTATTTTCCCTCAAAACTACCATTTAGACCAACCCTCAAATAACTTGGGACCCACCATGCCAAACACGGCCCACCGGACATATACTGACATCTTCAGGTTGGGAAAACAGCGTATGTAAGACAAGAAATAAATGTGGGTGATAGCCCATGACTGGAAGTGGGAAATTCTTAACTAAGGGCATGGTTACACATGGGGGAAAAAACTACTTTTGAATTGTGTTTAATTTGTTTGAAATCAAATTTAAAAATTAGGACTACATGATGCACAGGCAAGAATTGATTTTTTTTTATTTTTTATTTTTTTTTTTTTTGCCCAAGAAGTCTTATTTTCTGGTTGGAAATTGAGATATTTTACACAGCTGCAAGGTCATTTGTTTAGATCACTGGTGAAACCAGGAAGCCTTATTTTCTTGTTGGAAATTGAGATATTTTACACAGCTTCAAGGTCATTTGTTTAGATCACTGGTGAAATTGATTATTTTGAATCAATTTGGCATATGTGAATGCTTCTGTCAGAGTAAATTGTATCTGTGGGGTTTGTCAAGTAATGGATGCCAGGACTGGGCTGCAGAGAAACCTTGCAGTCCAATCAGAGAAAGGGTAGAGGAAAGGGCTCCCTCATTCACAAGCCTAGAAACTGCTGATCTTGTAAATTTCACTGGCCCTTTTCTTTTAGCCAGGCACAGATGTGTCTTCCCTCTGCCTGGTCCCTCAGTCTCTCCTTCTCCACCCCACTCTCTGTGTGTATCTTTGTGTACATGTGTCAGGCTGCAGGGAAACCTTGCAGTCTGATCTGTTTTGACCTTTTTCTATCTGTCATACTGAACTAGCACTATGCCGGATTGTGAGATTTTTTTAAAAAAATTAAAAAATAACACTACAACAGCAGTGGCTAGTGGCTGTGAGAAGCAGCCGGTATGAGAGCAGGTGGGCACAGGACAAAGCCTCAGATGCAACCATTTTTTAAAAAAAGTGTTGCCCCCTTAACTGCTTTATAACACAGATTAAAATCAGATTAAAAATTGCCCCAGGAGGATGCATACACTGACCAAAAGCCACATGTCTACCATGTGACTTTAAACCAATTTCAAAACCCCTGATCCATCTCCCAATTCATTTTCATAATGTAACTGCACCCTAATACAGTACAAGCATCTGGGTTTTGTAGTAGGACCTTCTCTTTTGTCAGGGATGATGCAAATTAATTTGCTTTGCTTGGTAATTGATTTTCAGGATACAGCTTGGGTCCAGGCTACCTGAAGCACCATATCTCTCTATACAGTATTTAAGATCAGCAGAGGAGGCCCTCCTCTCCGTCCTATTGCCAGCACAAGCACAGCTGATGGGACACGGGAGAGAACCTTCTCTGTGGCAGCTCCCAGGCTATGGAATGCTCTCCCTCGAGAGATGATGATGGCCCCTTCCCTTTTATCCTTTTGAAAAAAGCTAAAGACCCATCTCTTCAGGCAGGCTTTTAACAATTATAACTGAATCCCTGAACCCCATTTCAGCTGAAATTTTAATCTTTTTTATGTTTTGTAAGTTTTAATCTTTTAATTGTATTTTAAATCATATATTGTTTAATTTGTCTTTTAATATTTAACTTAGAGTATTGTGTTTTTAAATTGTGTGAATTTTAATGTTGTGAGCTGCTTTGGGTCCCTTGTTGGGAGAAATGTGACATAGAAATTT